ATCATCATCTAGGCATATTAAGCAAATAGCATTGAGAATCTACAATTGAGGAATTCTACAATAAGCCATGGTGAGGTTTAATAAACACACATCTGCAGCCAACCTGAAGTACCAGTGAACAGTGTAAGCAACCAAGTTTGCTCACTTAATTGCTGAGTGCCATTGTCCAGCTCCTGCAAACTCAAGCTAGTGTTAGCTGTCGCTCTTTCATGGGTCCAGCTGAGATGATGGCTAATGACCAGACTGTCAACACTCAGAGCAATAGGTCGTCCTCTAACCTCAGCATTCCGTATGGTAATCCGAACATATCGACACATGAGACTACAGAAACAGTTAACAACATCAGTGCCCACACAGATATTGCACCAATCAAATTACGCTACCTGGAGAACACTAATGTAAAGGGCGCTCTTACTGCAGAAAAATTCATTAAGCTTAAATTTATTTTATTTTTTATTTTTTTTTCTATGGGACCAAGTACAATATTAAACATAAATATTAGCATTTGATGTATTGGTAAGCTTAGAGCTTATTGGTAAGCTCATTTTCATATGCAGTCTCCTCTTGGCAGGTCACAATAAAAAAACACACACACAATGACAGAACAGCAAAAAAAAAAAAGAAACAAGCACAGGATACATAATAAAGAAGTTACACTTTTGTTTTGATAATTGTATACTAAGCCAAACCAGCCTCGTTGCAGGCATGTTGTCTTTACTTTTTAGAGTGTCTCGTACAGGCGGTTATTCTTTTACTGAGTTCCTCCACTCCTGCCGTCCATGGCTTTTATATATGTACTTTTGGGATAAAGTGATTATATATAACAACACCTGTAGTCTTTGCTATAATAACTACATACTGTATAATAGTAACTTTATAGCACAGTGGCCTCTTATCCCCTAACTTATCCTGACAGAGTAAGAATAAGAATATATGGCAACCCCAGCAAAGTGGCTATGCTGTAAGACTGAAAGAGAGGGTTCAAAGTGTTACTTTAATGACATCTAAACAGATATTTGAATGAAAGATCACCTCTAAATCGAGGGCAGGGCCTTTCAAACGTGAGGGGCAAGGTCTAATTCCCTGTGCTTCAGAGCCAGTGGACCAGTATTTTGGGTTTGCCAGTACATTGGGCAGATATTGCCATTTTCTAAAACGTCTAATATTGATCTATGGGATAGCACCCCATTCCCATCTTACCTTTACTGGATGGTTAACAGAAGAGAACCAGAGGAAATATGTGGAGAGGGAGAACGATGACATGGGACAAAAGTTTTCTTCTGAACTCAAACCCATGAAGTTGAAGCTTTTAAGCAGAAATTATCCTAATGCAGCATTTTAATGAAGTCTTGTCATCCACATCTGAGTTATTAAGCTATACTATGGTGAAGCCCACAGCCGCAATGCTCTCCCATCCCCTTGGATCTTAGAACAGCCTATACTTTACTCTTATTTCAGCCATCTTGCCCGTCTTTCTTAGAGTGATTCAGCCTTTTTGGATGACTTTATCAAGTGACTCAGGGAACTGCGAGGAGGGGATTGGGGAGGAGAACAGATCAAGTGGTTTACTCTAATGAGCCCTGTCAACAGTGCTCTGCCTATAAACAAATAGGGCTGACAGATGACACAGTGGCAGCACTCGTCTCTGTCTCTCCAGCGAACCACCTGTCGACGCCGGTTTTGGACTCCAGGAAATGTGTCGCTCTGTCGAGAAAGCTTACCGGCGCCTTTTCTCTCTCTCTCTCTCCATCAGTCTCTCTGTCATCTCTCTCCCATTCTTCTTCTCCAAAACACAGACTCACACTTTTTAGGGCATCATGGAAAGTCATTAGTCATTATTTTCTCTGCTGTCTCTCTACCCACACATACGCTGTCACTTGCCAGCTCTCTGCCGCTGCTCGAGAAATTATGAATTATGCTTGTGTCTCACTCTCTACAGGGGCTGCGACTAGGAAGCACCAACCGTAGAGCCGCTGCTCTGTTTATTCCTTTTCTTAAACGTGGACTTTTTTTTCTCCAAGCCCGTCAATCACAATTTAAACTACCCTGGTCACCAAGCATACCGCAGTGCACCATATTGAGACAAACCGCCTAATTTGTATCAGCATTTCACAACTTGTCAACTTGTCGCGTTTGGTGTGACAAAAAGGAAGAGGGCCACTTTTCTGTTGTTGTAATTTATACCCGGCACAGTGGAGACCGCCCGCCACTAAATGTTCTCCATTTCTTAATTTTACTGCAAACGCCAGCATGGATCCGTCGGAGTAGCCTCGCTGCCATTCACTCAGGTTTAATTGGTATTCACTAGGAAGCCTGCTTGGCGCTTCACAAGCTGTGCAGCCTCAGTATAAGACTGTTTGACTTTAGTAAGAGCATGTCAGATTAGAGTGTTATTAATAAAAGGGAATGGATGCACAAGAGCCAGAAGAGTCAGGGGTGGAGGGGTTTGGTGCACATTGCACATTCCTTGCCTTTCTTCGGGCTTTGGGTATAAGGCTTGCAGGTAGGGCTTGGAGATAAAACGATCCCGATACAGGATCGTGATCCTATTACGTCGATAACTATGATAAACTTTAGTGGAGTTTTTTTCTCAATTGATCTAACTCCCTATCACACAGCAGAAATATACACAACAACAGCCAGTCAGTCCCATCTCCTACTGCAAAGAACTGTTTGATCTACCAGTGAAGAAAGTGGATTCCTCTGGAAAAGAGGAAAAGAACAAGTGTAGACATGAAAGTACCGGTGAAAGTGAACTCCAAGTTATCCAACGTTATCCTCCAAGGCTGAGGACATTGTCAACAAGAAAAGTAACATGACTTTAATTATATAATATATATAATAATTATTTTTATAAGTGTGTTAGATATCTTAAAAGCGAAGTCCAGATTAAGACGGTCTGCAAAATATACCATCTAACTGGCGGTATATTTCCAACCACGATGGGAAACCCATCACCTTGAAAATGTACCATCCAAGTGATAAGGCATGTTTGCAAAGTTAAATGTTTATGTTATTCTATTTTTATGTTAGTAAACTATATTCTGAAGTTTAACTTATGAACCTTCTGGTTTCTTCAGGCTTCAGTCATTCCTAGATTGATCGAGTCTAGTTAGCCCCCACCCACTTGTGGATTATGCAGCACCCACATCCGGTATAAGCCACGCCCATTCTAGCTATGCAGTATACATATGAAAATAGATAATTTAGTTGGCTGAACAGATACAAGTAATGTGTACTCCCTGATAAAAATCAATATTGATCAATATGGAAAACAATATCCTGGTCATATTTTTTGTCATATCGCCCTGGTTCTACTTGCAGGCTGTAAAAAGCTCTGAGGAGCAGCAAGAAAACACATGTGACAGGCCCTAAGCCGATGACTAAAAATGGGCGCCCTGTACCCGTCTCAAGCTATTTGACAGGGTGACGAACATTTCCAACCGGGGGCTCGCAGCATGTTGCCTAAGAGGATTTTCAAATAGGGTGTCTTTCTCTTTTTTTTCTTTCTTTAATGCATTCAATGGAATAAGAGCATTGTGCATCGTGCTGTGTTCTCATGCCTTTTGTGTTACATAATATGGTATATTGTCCTCGTGTCGCTTGCACAGCGAGCCTACACATGCTCTTTGAAGTGGATAAGTGTAGTCCAAATTATTAATGCTAATTCTGCTACAGCTGATTTAGCTTTCCCCTTGTTAGCAGCACTGAGCGCTCAAAACATACAGTAGAGGCCCCTGAGGGACTGTGTTTCTGCCAATTTCTTTAGCCATGCTCTCAGAGCTCAGCAGAAAGGGGTAGAATGCACTGATTTAGGAAGTGTGTCAGCCTTTCCTAAGAACTTATGCATAGCTAATCCGGTGAGACCCATTGATCACTGACGCACGCCTGTATATGTATTGAGGTATTGATTAAAGATTCTGCAAGGACCCTTATTTAGAATGCAGGGTTTTCCCATGTCAGTTTTCTCCTTTAACTGTAGTGCTGCATGTGCCTTAAACAAAGGCCTGAACCTAGCCTGTAAATGCATATTTCAGAACTTACTGAACTGAACCCGACCTAAAATTTGAAAGCCATGATAGTGGCATGGCTCTAGGGGTGGCAGTGTTGGTTTGTCAGTTGGTCGGCCCACCAGTTTTATCCAAATTGTTGCACACAGTGAACTTACATTTTGTACAGACATTCATCTTCTCCTCAATATGAACTGCAACAACTTTGGTGATCTTCTGACTTGTCAAAATACAAAGTAACACATTATCACAAATAAGAAATAATGCAATGGCAATAACATGTTAGATTATATATTATAATATTATATAAGTTAGACCCAGGGTGCAAACTACAGGGGAGCCAGGGGGAGCTGGGTCCTCTTAGTAAGACATGAATAAGACATGAAACACAATTTGAAATTGAAAGTAAAAAGGTAAAGTCTCTAAAATATTGACAATTTAATTAATTAATTAATTCTATTTTTCTATCACCACGGATTGTGTGTGAAGTTGGGCTAAAATTCATGCAGGCACCCTGCATGAGGGTACTATTTTTGCCATCTATCTAAAAAAAAAAAAAGAAGAAGCCATTGCATAGTTTGCACACTGGTTAGACCAATGCAGAAAATCAGCTTTACCTGTAAGTTCATAACAAGATCACCTTTGCCTTATCCTAATATTAGCCTGATGAATGTGGCAGGTAGCTCGCCAAGCTAATGCAATGCATTGGCTATGCTCTGCCTCTCTTCCTGCTTCCCAGTGGAAACTGGCTCAGGCAGAAAGGCAGAGAGAAAGAGACATTTATTAATATATGTAGCTGAAAATAATAAAACCTGAAACCGACCAAAATGTTAGGCTACGCAACATAACAAACCTGACCCTAAATTCAACACGTTGTTAAGAACCAATGGGTTATGTAAGAACCAATCAAACTAACCATATCCAACCCCAACGCATCAGCCATGTACTGTATTGTAGTTTCTAACTCTCTTATCTTCTCTGTCGTCACAGGGCTGAAGGTGCGTGAGGTGATGATCAACGTATCCCGCCAGCAGGTGGAGGATTTCCACGGCCCTGAGGACTACTGGTGTCTCTGTGTCGCCTGGAGCCACCTGGGCACCTCCAAGAGTCGCAAGGCTACTGTCCGCATCGCCTGTGAGTATGGAAACACCTCAGTGATCAGTGCTGTCGCAACTGTGTCACAAAGCTTTATGTAACGTGCATCTGGCAACATATAGCAAGAAAACTGTTGAACTGAAAAGGGAATAGTCTGATGAGATGGGTGGGTTTCCAAATGAAGCTGGTAAACTATCTTGTCTTTGGCCTTATTGTCTATATCAGTCCTAAGTTACAGCTTTCAAACAATCAGTTCAATTGGCTTGAATAAACTTGAATAAAGCCAAATAAATCTACCAGTGATGGTGTAGGTGAAACTAGTACCTGAAACTTATGTATACTAAATTAACTACTGTGCAAATCAGCGGTGTATACACCAAGACAGATATGTTGCCTAGATACAGTCAAGTCAAACTGAAAATTGCATGTTGTTCTTCTGCTGCAGTATACACATCTGCTCTATACATGTCCTATGGTCTGCTATAAGAAAACAAAGGGTCAAATCTATATGTTTGTGCATTAAGTAGCTGGAATGCTGTTAGTGCTCTGGCTACATAGTTAGAGAACCTTTCTGAAGACAGCAAATTTCAGTTATTTCAGTCTCAGACAGCAGCCACACTAGCTTTCTTGCTTTTCTAACTTACGTGTCTTATCCTGCACGTTAGCCTGCAAAACAAGCTAACTGCCCCAAACATCTAGCAGGAGAAAATTACACCACTAATGTCAATGTGCAGGCTAGATAGCTAATCAGCTGTAACACATTAAAGCTAGGGTATGTATTTCAGAAGCATTTTCTTCTTATATTGTTTGATATTCTTTGATTTTTGAAATTCTCTTTACATCCCGACAGCAAGCAATAAATGAAATGCTCGGAAAAAGAAAAGGAAAGAACCCCATATATCTGTGGCTGTCACCGACGTGTATTAAGCCAATCATTTCATTCAGGCCAAATGAAATGATTTGTTGATTGGGAATTTTTCAAAATCTAGCCGTTTCTTGATAGTTTTTCCAACATTACCTACTCAAGCTGTAACCAGTTCAGAACAGAACTGCTAATATCAACACTGGTTAGTTAATATGATAAACTGCTAACAAAATATAGTCTGTCCTTAGCTTGTAAACTAGAGTTAGCAGAGCAGGTTTACTTTGACTTTTCCTACCCCTGGCCAGTGGGTAGAGCTGGTGTCCCATGTACCGAGGCTGAGTCCTTGCTGCAGCGGCCCAGCATTCGAATTCAACCTGCGGCCCTTTGCTGTGTGTCATCCTCTCTCTCTGCCCCCCTTTTCCTGTCTATCTTCAGCTGTCACTATCATATAAAGACAATAAAAGCCCCAAAAAATACTTAAAATAAATAAATAAATGAAAAAATAAGGTCACTTTGACATGATTTTGGATTCAGAGCAGGGATGAATAAATGTGATTTCAGTTGGACTTTAAGTGAACTCCAGTGTGTTTGTCCTTTTATTTCTGTTCCTTCAGACTGATTAGAATTTTCATCCAACCCCCTACAGTATGTTGATGATACAAATGAACCGAGATCTCAACCCACTTCCAGTCAAACTGATGTTCATTTATGATGCAAACATCAAATGGACCAATGTGTAGGATTTAGTGGCATCTAGCGGTGTGGTTGTAGATCGTGTCTAGGAGAAACTATGGTGGCTGCGAAAAACACAAAAGGCCCCTGATCTAGAAGGTCAGTGGCTTGGTTTGTCAGACAACGTACGAACAGACAACGTACGGTAACAAAAAAAAAAAGATGATCTATACACTAATGGAAAACATACCTTTTGGATATTATATTCCATTGTTTCTGCCAATAGATCCTCTCCTAAATGTTACGCACTGGACCTTGAAGTCACATATATGACACTTGCATCAAATAGACCTGATTACAGCTTGTGTCTAGTTATTTCTTGTGACCACCAGAGCAGAATATAAATGTAAAAAATAAATGAAAGATAAAAGCAGATAAAAAAATAAAGCCTTCAAGCGCAGTGAGGTAAAGCATGACTGGCTGTCAGTAAATGGAAAAAAAGCTCATGATTTTTCCCTGGAGGTCCCCCATAGTATTATGATCATGCAGAATGACTGACAAAACTGATATACAGTGTGTGTCCATGTGACTTCAACCCTGTACAGACTGGAACTAAAAAAAAGGGGACATTAGTAGACAATATCTTAACGGAAAATGAATCAGATTTATCAGCAGTGAAATAATCAATGCCCAGAAACGAATGCTGTCTGATCAAGTTTAGACACAATCAGCTATTCACAGCCAGTTGATGTCCAAATCCAATACTGCTGCCAGAGGGCGTTATAGGTTATCCAAGAGCCCTCCTCTGTGCATAATTTAATGTTTTTTACTTGAGTTTTTATGTGGCCCTGAAGAGAAATGTATACTGTATACATACTAAAGAAGTCTTTTCTTGTCCTCTAAAGGAGGGAAGTTAGAATTTGAGTTTAAATATGATGTGATGTCAAAATCTTGATCTGCTTGGATTTGCATATCATTGTCTTTGCACTTACCCACTTGCCAGCTGAACCGAGATTCTCAGGCACGATGACAGAGTCTCCTCCCTGTATTTGGATTGCAGTGAATTGCTCATGATCCTAGGCTACATGAAACCCATTCATAACCAATGTTGAAATTTCAAAGGCAGATTCCTACTTTCCAAAAAGGGTGACATTTTAAAGCTTTTTAGTGGATAGCAGCAGTGCAATAACCTATCAAAGGCAGTATTGAGAATGGGCAGAATGGGGTCCGTCACTATTGTGTGCACATGAATGCCCGGGATGATCAGAGCAATGCTTGTGCACTTCCTCCATCCAGTGTATCCTCCAAACCACCTTGTCAACAGATTACCCGGCACAGAGCCATGGGATCCTCTCTATCTTATACAGGCTGTAGTGGGTTTTGAAGGTCGTGGCGTGCAGAGCCAGGGGCAGGCCGGCGTGTTAGCTGCTGAAGAGGATTGAGGCCGGGCTGACCGTAACACTTGACACCTGACAGCTGCCTCTTATCTCCCCACACAGACCTGAGGAAAAACTTTGAGCAGGACCCCCAGGGGAAGGAGGTGCCAATCAACGGGATGATCGTTCTGCACTGTCGCCCTCCAGAGGGAGTGCCTGTGGCGGAGGTAAGGCCATCGCCCCTCACTCCTCCTGCACAGTGGGAAGCTTATACTCCCACTGCAGCAGAGGAGATCTGCATCAGAGCGGCCATGCTTATTGTGCGAGTGAAACTGCTCAGGTTTTACCTTCAGCTCCGCTTTCTCTGACCTTTAAGAAGTTAGTCATGTTGGATATACATGACTCTAATATTAGCCAGGTTTGTGATCATCTGTGCTTGTTTGTCTGTTGTTAGATCTGTCATTTTGTCTGCCCAGATTCTCATGCATTTTGGATTGAACTTCTACATCTGATTATTGACAATGGATAAGAGCCTCAATAACACTTCAGCCTTTGTAGGGATATGATGATATATATGTTGAGACAATGTAAATGTGTCTACAATCAGAGGAATTTACTGTACTGCCTCTAAATTAATGTAACATTTACTTTTTTATGTTCTTATGAGATTGTTCAGATTTTTGATAAATGTGATTAAGCATCTTGATCTGTAAGGGATTTTCTGGCTATCCATTGATTTCCAATGGCTTCCAGAAAAACTACCACATTATTATTATTACTATGTACCTATACTATATAGTATACCCAATGCTGTGAGAAGAGGATTTTATCCATAGTGCCTACTCCTAATCCACTGCATTGCCAGTATCAGACTTCAGCATGTAGTGTTACATTTTTTTATCATCATGTTTTGTTGTTTTAGTGACAGTTTAGGCTCCCAAATAACTCCAGTTGAGGACACACCAGCACAGGACTTGATCAGGTGTGAACATGTCACAGTGCCCCAGTTTCTTTCGGTGTACTGCATAGCATTCAGGTTTCTTAAAAACATGGGGGTCTTATTCATGTTTTTGGAACCAGGATATGACCCCATCAAATGCAGGTTAAACCTGCACTGAACGGGTCAGCGTATCTCAGCCAACTAAATATTGTGTTGACCTGAAAATCTAAGTCGAATGGATTTTACAGTCCATTATTACACAGTTATCTGGTTCCAGCTTCTCCGTTGCGAATGTTTGGAATATTTTCTAGTCTTCTATCATAGTAAACTGTATATTTGTAAAACCAAAAGACATTATTATGATACGTATTTTTCCCTGTTATCTAACATTTTATAGACCAAACAATTGAGTCATTGAGAGAATAATCATTAATTGCATCCCTAACATGTCAACCAGGCGTCTCTATTAGGGACGTAAATTGATTGAGCTATATTGACATTTAAACATCATTTAACCCACTGACCGAAAAAGCATGCGCGAGAAAGAAAGAAAGAAAGACAAAGAAAGCGCATGTGTGTGGGGGAACAAAAGTGAGAGAGAGAGAAGAATATGGGTAGCGGGAGAGAATTTTTATTTGGTAATTATTCAGTGTAATTGTTGTGATTATCAGTGCAGTGTGTGAGGCTACACTGCAGAGTGGAGTCTCTCCTCAGGGTGAAAACCAGAGATTAACCTGTGACAGCTGTGACAGGCTATAGACCCACATCATACACACATTTCCAGTGGGAAAGGACTATAAAGCCTGACTATAACTGGAATATTAATGTGCATGTAAACACAGTCAATATTTACATGTATCAGGACAATCTTTATGAGGTTGCTCAGGATGAAACATACAAATTCTGTTCTAATCCACTAATACTGTAGGGTATTTCTATACTAGGGGAAGTAGTCACGCCTAGCCAGGCCGTGTTTTTCCACTGCACTGCACAGCGTGGTAAAGTACCTTGATAACATGTTGGAGGTGAGCTGGTCACAAACCACAGTAAGAGCCTGTCGCCTGCAGCCCTTTTCAGCTCACTCTGGCTGTTTCTGCTTGTACTATTCCTCCATGTGATATTTAAAATCCTGATCCGCTCACCGAATAACACAAAATATGTCTATGTCTGGTTGATTAGACCTGTTTTTACTGAAGAATAGCACCTCTAACATTGCGCTCAGCAGACTGGATTGGTATTACTTCCTCAAAATGGAAGAAATATTCGTTTTGCATCAGCAGTAACTTAACACAGCCAGGGGCGGATCTAGAGAAATATTGATAGGGTGGCCAGAGAGTGGCCCCTTAGGGGGTGCAGAAATATATATTCTGATTTAATTGCAAACAATTACATATATCAATACTTGCTTGGAAAAGCCCACAAATGAACATATTTGAACTCAAAAACATTACATTCTTGTGGCACATTAGTAAAGCAATGAATAAAAATATCTAATGGTGGCATTATAAATCAAGTTTCATATTTTTTCACTGGACTTAAGCCTATCACAGTCTAAAAAAACATTTAATTAATATCCATTTTTATCAGATTTTTAAAATTAATCTAAATTAATGTGTTATGTTTGACAGCATAAGCACCAAACTGGGGTGACTGGGACACTACCACCCCATGCCAGCCCTCTGGATCCACCCCTGAACACAACTCCAATAGGGCTGAATGCAATCAGTAAAAAGCAAAATAAGGCTAATATTGTGCAGTGGAACTAAACTACAACAGAGATTCAGGTAGAAGTACAAAGTACAGAGAGCAGAACACAGAGACAAAATGGTACATGGACTGTCTTCAAACCACTCAAAGCCTTTTACACACCATGCACGCTTCAGCATACATCCTGGAGAAGCTGGGGATCGAACCATCAACTTTCTGAATAGTGGACTACCAGCTCTACCTCCTAAGCCGCACACAGCCGCCGCCCGAAGAACAGACGCATAGCAGTGCAGAGGAGATACGGTCGGCAGTGCTCTGCCCTGCTAACTAGCAGGACCACAGCAGCTCGGCAGTATTTAACATTGTTTGCCTGCTAAAGAGCACTTCACTGTGAATTGTTGCTCTGATTGCTTTTAGCATTTAAATCATACCTTGTGGCAACTTACACCGCTGCTCCCAGTGAGACGGAGAACAGATGTTTCTCGCAGCGTGATCAACCTGCGAGACCGACTTGTAGGGCAAATATAGCATTTAAATGTCTCTGTGAAAAAATGTCACGAAAAGTGCACATTCCTCTCCTTCCGTACAGTATTTGGCCCAGTGACAATCAGCACGAACAATGGATGTGTAATTGATGTGCGCGGGGAGCAGATTTAAGCGGAGGTCAACGTCCGACCCTGCGCTGTATAAATGATTCAACATGGAAATGGAGGAGTGATGTCGTTCCAGCGCCGCATAGTCCATGGCAGGGATAAAAATAGTTGAATCTGAGCAGGACAGACTGAATCACATCCTGCCATCTAGTCCTTTGTCAACACAAATGAGCCCAGCCACAAGAGATGGGAGTGAATAATGTAGAGAGCACATGGCAGATATCCTCAGCCCAGTCAATATCAGTGCACCTCGTCCATGAAATATTGAGATGGCATCCATAAGTGTGGTAGTGTGAGGTTTCAGAGTGCAGCTGCAGGACGGATGCCACTGTAGTGAACACAGCGCAGGCCCAATAGAGTGCAAGCCTGCAGTTGGGAGTGCAGCGCAAAAACTGGGCTTCTGAAGGGTGCGTTTGGAAATCACCCTCATCAGCAAGGATGTCAGAGTGAGCTAATGAGTCTCCAGGCACTCGCAGTGGAATCATTTTGTACTATGGGGTTTCAACGGTTTATTTAAGCAAGAGTGTCAGGAATGCCTTGTTGACTCTGGAGGTATCTATTTGCACGAGGGAGTAGATATATAATAGATATATTTCTGACAATACTGTAATGTACTGCCATTCTTTCCATCTACCCACCTGTCCCATTAGGCTGTAAATTTTCAAGTAACATTTGGCATGTTTTTCCATTTCTCTTTTCAGTTTTGTTTTGTTAGAGTCAGTATTATACTGTACTATAAACTGGAGAGGATATTATCAGCACTTGCTTTTCTTTGGTTGATACTGAGCTTAGATAGAGACACTTTGCTTGAATATGACATTTAGGGCTGCAACTTCCATTCTCAACAATTGTAAGTAATTTTCATTTTCTTAATAATTCCCTTTATAATTTCCCATGGCCCCCATTTGAGAACTACTGTTTTAAGACATAAAATATTATGCTTTAAATCAAAATGATATCTACTCCCTCTTCCTCATTAAAAAATCCTGAATCTATCAATATGTAGATATTTTTGATTTCAAAAGTTCGCTAAGTGCACTGGAAGTTTCAGATTTCCTGATCAAGTCACATACTGGACCATGGCTTTCAAACTAGCTGTGAGGTGACAAAATGAGATCTAAGTTGTTGCTTTGTGTGTAGGCTACATAGCCTCTCAGGCCACATAGCTTCTGTCCTAAACTTCTGATTGGTGGAGCTGGTAAGCTCTGCAGACACTACTCAGGACTCACAAAACTAAACGTTCTCTTCTGCATGATTTGTTCACCATATTTATATTCTGATTTACAGGTGTACTTTTGTTTTATCATTCTAATCAAGATTCTATAATTGAACATCAATCAAACACAACATTGAATCATTATTGATTAAATCAAACATTTGTAATGAAAAAAATCATCTATTTGTGTTTAGAGGTGTAAATAGTGCAACATCTCAGTCTCACTTTTCCATCAGTGAAGCTAAATATAACTCTCAGGGATGATGCATTAATAATACAAAAACTCTGCCCACATTTTTAATTCTTTTGTTAGACCTCTAGAAGGCATGAAGACCAATTTTATTAACATGTGTTTTTACCTCATCATTTTCCTTTAGTGTCTGGTTGTTAAACACCAGTATATTATACAAAATATGTGGGTGCTATTACATAATGACATAATCAGATTATTACACAATAAGGTGTTATCACATAATCTGTTGTTACAAGCCTCTGTACTAGAATTAAGGAGCCAGAACAAACTGACAATCAGACGTTTTAGACAGTGTTATGTTATTGAAAATGTTGCACTGAAAGCCAAATGATGCATTGTATTTGTGCATAAGTGTGTGTATAGGTTATTTACTGTAACAGCTTTCATTTTTCAGCCTTTAATGTAAACATTGTAAACCTCAGTAAATCATCATATGAATCAATATTCTGTTAATGCAT